GGGCGTCAGCCTGGGGCAGGCAGCTCCCAGGCCCCCCCTGCGCTTGTTCAACTGCCTCATGCTGCAGCTGTGGCTGGAAGGGCCTGGCTCTTGCTCCCTAAAGTCCGGGCAAGCAGAGTGATGAGGGTGCTGAATTATTTGGTTATTTATGTGTTAGACGTTTTCTGGGCTGAGAGCCTGTCGCGATGACCTGGATGGCAGTTTTCAGAGGTGCTGCTGGTGGGTGTTGTTATTGCCAGGCACTTAGTCCTGCCTGAAAAGGATGTCCTGCCACTACAGGGACCAAAACCGGAGCGCTAAAGAACCTGGATTTCTCTGGTGTCCCATGGTGTCCGGAATAAAGGCTGTAGAATCTTGAAGGAGAAAGGTTTCTTCAAAAAAACCTCAATAGGAAAAGTCTCTTTTACGTAACTTGTCCTGATGCTGTTCCAGCTGCTTCATCCCGAGCCGCATGCTGGGCAGACGCGGGGAGCATGTGCTGCTGTGGCCGCGGCAGTGACCGCTGGACTGTCCCCTCCTGCTGCCCAGCGCTGACCGTGCCTCTTCTTGCCAGGTCCCGGGTGAAGTTGCTGGTGGATGAAGATGGCAGGTCGCCGATGGCTCGCCCCCCCTCTTGAAGGTAACGGGGGCTCTGCTACAGCATGGAGAGCAGCGTCCATCCCGGCGTGCCCAGGGAGGCTGTGCCAGAGGCATCCTGGGGTGAGGGGTGGCCCCTGGCCACCTAGGGCTCTGGGCAGGCTGGGAGGGGGCTTTCTGCAGCAGGACTGGTCCCCTGTGGCCAGCATGGGTCCCTGACCTCAGCTGTGTCTGTGGGGTTCCCCACGACCTCCCTGAGGGGAGTTGGCCACCACCCTGCTCCGGGGGGGGCTGGATTTGATGTTTCAAGGGCGAGCTGCCCGTGCTGCTGGGGGGGGGCTCTTCAGGCTGTGGGTAAAGCGGACGGCAGATGTGGTGGTCTCAGTCATTCCCCCTCCTTTCCAGGCCTGCTGCTCTGCACCTTGGCTCTGCAACTCTGCATCCAGGACCCTCTTGCCACAGCAGGTGAGCTCTGCACCCCAAGGAAACCTGGAGCTCCTGTGGAGAGCGGGGCAAAGGCAGTGTGGTGCATCAGGGACTCTGTCCCTGTCCCCTCCAGGCTGTATTCTGTAGGGTGGAGCTGCCCTGGGGAACACTTTTTCATGGTTTTTACCCTAGAAAAGCCTGTTCTTCACATGCAGTGTGGCTAGAAGGGGGAGGGAAAAGCCGTTTTAACACCCATCTGCAGTGCTGCTGCGGTACTCTCTTGTCTCTGACCTGCTTGTTGGGCTGCCCGGTCTCCGGCTGCAAACAGACCTTGTTTGGGACAGCCTCTCACTGCCACCCACATCCCACCTACAGTGCGATGGTGCTGCAGATGCCTTGGGACCCTGCAGAGGCTCAGGAGGGGATGCAGGGCTTGCTGAGCGCGAGGCTGGTGTTTCCTTCACCGGGGGGAACTTTGTGTCTTCCAGAGCACAACGTGGCCCCCAACAACGCCTCGGTGGCCCCCAACAACGCCTCGGTGTCCCCCAACAACGCCTCGGTGGCTGCCCCCAATGCCTCGGTGGCCGCCCCCAACGCCTCGGTGGCCCCCAACGCCTCTGTGAACAGTACAGCAGAAAGACCGGTAAGGGAAAGGAAAGGGGAAAGGGCCAAGCTGTTACAGCCCCACGGATGGGGTCTCTGGCCTGACTGGTCTCTCACGGGAGCCAGGATTCCCATGAGAGCATCTCCTGGGATGGAAGGGGAGCACCTTGGGCATGGCGGGTGGGTGCGCAGAGGCAGCCAGCCCCTCCAGACAGCAAAGGCTGTGGCTGGGGACAGGGTTGCCATGCGAGGAGGCTTCACTGCATGGTGACACCCTGGTGTGCTCTCCCTCCAGCTCACCTGCCAGAGCTTTCAGTGCTCTGGGGAGAGGTGTTACCAGGATGAAGCCCACGCCAACGAAACGGTGACCTGCCATAATGAGACCTACTGCGAGGTACGGAGCTCATGAGACGGGGTGGAGGGGGGCTGTGATAGGGAAAGTCTGCTTTCCCTTTCTTTATAAGGGGAATCTTCCCTTTCTTTATATGGGGAACCCCCAGTACGCTATTAAGTCTGTGTCAGTCTCCTATCGCCCTCTCTCTCGCTGCTGCAGTCTGTCGGTTATTTTTGCTCCTTCATAGCGGCACCTCCTCACACTCCTAGCATTTTTTCCTTTGGCTCTGCTGTTGCAGCTGTATCGTTTCTCCAGCACGAACTACACAGCCAGGTGCAGCAGCGCGTGCGGCGCAGGGATGTGCAGGACCAACAGCAGCGTGAGCACGCAGCGCTGCGCCCTGGACTGCTGCGACTCCCCCCTCTGCCTGCAGCTCAATGCCAGCTCCTACGGTAACGGCCCGCAGGGTCCCCGGGGGGGTCTGCGGTCAATCCTGCTGCAGGGGAGGGAGGCGCGTGGGCAGACCCTGTTGCAGAGGGCTGGCCGTGGCTGCGTCGCCAGGTCGCCTCTGCCCTGGGGCTTGCTCTCCTTCGGAGCTGGGGCGAGGGGAAGGGGTGGCCCAGCAGCTCTGGCCGCCGCGTGAGCCACGCTGGTGAGTCTGTCCCCTCTGGGGGGCTCTGCCCGGGCCGTGTGCTGGGCGCAGCCTCACAGGGCTCCTCATGTGTCTGCAGGTGACCTGCCGCTCGCCACTGTGCTGCCTACGACGACGACCACCACCACCACCCCCCGAGCTCCCCCCCGAAATGTAGGTGCCGGCCGGGCAGATGCTGCTGCGGGCTCTGCTGGGGGCTGCAGCCGCTGAGACGGCTGAGCTCCCGCCCGAGTGGGGGGACAGGGAAGGGTCCCCCCTGCGCCTGCTTTACGGGGTCAAAAGCTGCCTCTGGAAGGGGAACAAATCCTTAACAAGCTTTGAAAGGAAAGAATCCGTAACAAGCCCTGTCAGAGGCCTGTTCCCAAGCCCAGCACTTACATCGGTTCAAGCAGTTTGAACTGTGGGGTGAGCTCGGGGAGGGCACGGGGACCGATGGGGCG